TCCATCCTCGAAGCAGGATCAGAAGAGATCTCGAGTTAACTCCGACAAGTCTGGCCTGAAGAAAATACCTGTTCAAGAAAAATCACAAGATGCAAGATCAGCGACCTCCCGCGTGGAGGATCACCGGGCACAATGAATATCATATGTTGGAATTGTGGCGGTGCAGGCAAAGCTGCGACAATTCGAGAGCTTCGCGACTTAGCGAAGCAATTTGCCCCGACAGTGCTGTGTATTGTAGAAACACAAATTTCAAAGGCACGTGTCGAAAATCTTGCTGGTACTTTAGGTTTTAATAATTCTTATGCTGTGGGTAGTTCAGGCCGTAGCGGCGGAATCGGATTGTTTTGGAACGATGGAATAAAGCTTGATGTTTTTGGTTACTCGGAGTACCATGTTGATGCAACAGTTTCAAGCTCTGACCAGGGCACATGGAGGCTTACGTGTGTGTATGGTGAAGCACAAGTTGGGGAGAGATACAGAACGTGGGACTTACTCAAGTCGCTCGTGTCCGTAAATGATTTACCATGGCTATGCCTCGGCGATTTCAATGAGGTCCTACACCTCCACGAGCATGTTGGAACGGGTCAGCGAAGACACGCACAAATCCAAGCTTTCAGGGAAGCCATGGATGTGTGTGCTCTATCTGACATGGGTTATCAAGGCAAGCCATGGACCTTCGAGAAGAAAACTGCAGGAGGTGGGTATTGCAGGGTGCGTCTAGACCAAGCCTTGTCAAACATGGATTGGACTGCTAGGTTCCCTCACGCTCAACTTACACATGAAATAGCAGCCTCTTCGGATCATTGTCCGATTAGAGTTCAACTGGAACCGGCAAACCCTGCCCAGCTTCAAAGCAAATTATTCAGATATGAGGTGTACTGGGACAGAAACGAGGACTTTGGCTCGTCTCTCGAGGCTATGTGGAATGAGTCACCTGATGGACATACGGTTACCCAGATGAGCAAAAAACTGGGAGACCTGTCGGCTACGTTGAGGCAATGGAGCTCGGAGACGATTGGACACGTGGGGAAGGAGATAAAAAAGCTGAAAAGAGAGTTGGCCACTTTGCAAAATGACCCTCAGTGGATCTCACCCTCGCATGCAGAGACGAAAATTGCGACAAGCTAGTTGACCTCTACCACATGGAGGAGATCAAGCAGAGGCAGAGATCGCGAGTTGACCGGCTTACGGAAGGTGATAAAAACACCAAGTTTTTCCAACGGCGAGCTAGCCTCCATCGACGGAAGAACACTATAAAAAGCCTAGAAAGAGCGGACGGAACGACTACAAATGATCCTGCAGAGATGGCCTCGATCACAAACGATTTTTATAAAACCCTGTTCACTTCGGAAGGTACATCAGGGACGGATGCAGTACTTAATACTGTCCCGGTTAAGGTTACTCATGCGATGAACACGCTCTTGACCGCTCCCTACACCGGCGAAGAGGTGAAAAAAGCTCTTTTTCAGATGTATCCTACCAAGGCACCAGGGCCGGATGGATACCCGACACATTTTTTTCAGAGGCACTGGGAATTATGCGGTGCCGAGGTAACTAATGTGGTTTTGCGCATTCTGCGAGGGGAAGAAAGCCCGGAGGTAATTAATGAAACAATCCTTGTTTTAATTCCAAAGGTGAAAGATCCAACTAACTTATCCCAGTTCAGGCCAATTAGCTTGTGCAACGTCTTATACAAGATTGCTTCCAAAGTTTTATCTAACAGACTGAAACAGATCTTACCTGACATTATCTCAGAGGAGCAGTCTGCCTTCGTTCCGGGACGGCTTATCACAGATAACATTATAACAGCCTATGAGTGCTTACATTTTATGAAGCGAAACAAAGCCCAAAAGAACAGATATTGTGCAGTCAAGTTGGACATGATGAAAGTATACGACCAAGTCGAGTGGACTTACCTTGAAGCAATAATGACCAAGATGGGTTTTGCCCCTTCTTGGGTGGCTACAATCATGCGCATGGTATCATCAGTAAAGTTTTCAGTTCTTTTCAATGGTACTAAGCTTGAGGAGTTTCTCCCATCTAGGGGAATCCGTCACGGAGATCCTATTTCTCCATACCTATTTTTGCTGGCAGCGGAGGGCCTTTCGTGCCTCTTAAAAACCCAAGATGAATCATCGAGCCTCAGTGGAATTCGAGTTGCTCCGTCGGCACCGCCGGTGAGCCACTTGCTTTTTGCAGATGATAGCCTGCTGTTTGTCAAAGCCAGTTCTTATGGAGCAAATCAGTTGTCTTCCTTGATGGAAAGTTATTGCAATGCCTCGGGCCAAAGGATCAATTTAGCAAAGTCCTCGGTGTTCTTTAGTAAAGGCTGCCCCTCCGCTCTTAAGGCCGAAGTTTAGAGTGCTCTAAATATTTCAAAGGAGTCACTATCAGATAGATACCTTGGGATGCCAACGGATGTGGGTACTTGTAAGAATGGAGCCTTCAAATTCCTGAAAGATAGAGTCTGGAATAAAGTTAAGGGGTGGATGGAAAAACTTTTGCCAGCAGGTGGCAAAGAGGTGTTGATAAAATCAGTGGCGCAGTCCGTCCCGGTTTATTCCATGTCATGCTTCAAACTGCCGCGCGGACTGTCTGAACATATCAACTCACTGATCCGGAAATTTTGGTGGGGGAGTAAAGAGGAAAAAAGGAAGCCAAGTTGGGTCTCGTGGAGCACGATGACCAAGCCAAAGTATTGTGGAGGTCTTGGATTCAAGGATATCGAGCTTTTTAACTTAGCTCTCCTTGCAAGGCAAGCATGGAGATTATTAATGGATCCAGACTCACTTAGTGCACGTGTACTGAGGGCCAAATACCATCCAGGGGCTGATATTTTGAATGCTGAGCTTGGATCGGCTCCCTCACAAATCTGGCGGGCTATAATCGAGGGTCGCGATGTTCTCAAACAG